CCCTTCCCCTTCAGCCCTGTATTCATTTGAGGAGGCAGTCAATGTTAGAAATTTCAATGTTAGAAATCTCTGCTCTTGTTTGGGTAGCTAAATTCTCTGTGCGAATGCCATGTGGAGTGTGAATAGCGTTGCATTTTAAAAGGAGTGCATTCAGGGAGGTTGCATATGATCCTGATACGCACTGCTTGAGCTAAGTGCAAATTGCGTATTATCATGAAGTGTGCAGAAGTGAATGGAATCAAATGCGTTATCTCTTGGTGTTTCACATGTACAGTGTTAGTATTGGGGGAAGCCTTAATAAGCAAGAAACTTTAACTTAGACTCAGGCTGTGTAAAAAGTCAAGGGATTTTAAATGTGTTAACTATAGTACCTGGTGTACCCTTTGGAAAGCCTACCATGTTTCCCCTCTCAGGCTTCATACAAACTGACCTCCATCTGCTTCCATACAATCTGTAGCATGGGAGCAGAACCAAAAAGCACAGCTCCAAACATGAGTCCTTCGTCCACCTTTCTGCTGCAGGCTGCCTTACTCCAAGTGTTTCTAGAGATGACTCCTGACCATAACTCTCCACAGCACATAGCAACAATTCAGAGTATCACTTCCTATTACTGTTTTGGCAAATGCTCTGAACTTGAAAGAGCGAAGGGATAAAAGCAGAAGGGACAGTGCAGAGCAGTGGTCTTTGGACTGAAAGGCGCTGCACGCTTTGCTTTGACAATTTGCATAGTCTGTAGATCCGTTTTTTTTCCTGACTTGTTCTTGATGAAAGCTTTCAAGCTTTAGTTTTCCATTGTGCCTGAAAGGAAGGAAATGCGTGTCTGTAGCTGCTCTGAAACACAGTAACTGGGAACCGATTTATGTAAACTTTCAGCAGCTTTTTTTTTTTGTTATACTTAAGGGTGCACTGACACCAAATGCATTTGATGCAAATTACGTCCACTGGTTATTCTGAATTCCCTTAGCTCTAGATTCAAGCTTAATATATTTAATTTTGGTGCACCAAATGTTACTTAAAAGTCTACCTTGACAATTGTCCTTTGATACTAGTTTGCGATTTTAAGATTTTGTGTATTTTCTTGTGACTTATGTTTCCAGTGGCTTTTAGAGGAGAAGCTGTAGGTGCGCCTCCCAGAAAACTTGTCATGGCTTTCCCAGAAAAACAAAAGCAAGGGCTAAAACCTGTCAGCAGAGAGGAATGGAATTACAGATTTGACCTTCTCCATGAAGCAGCAGGAAAATGACTCTGGATCTTTTCTGATGTTAATCTGGGAAAACATCCTGGACTCAATATTAGGGAGCATATTTAACAAAGCATTTAAAACTGGCACTTTACCTGACCCATGCAGAAATGCTCTAAACTTCTATTATATCACCTTCAGTGAATTGCAGCCCTGTCTGCCTTGTGGAAAATCTCGAATGGCATGCTCTGTGCCTTGCTGAGCCAACAGCATATTGCTTCAGCCATGGTTAACTAACCATCGGGGCTGAAATAGGAGGAGGTATCTGGCAGCATGTGAAGGCCACTTTGTGGGATGGATGTTGTGATTGGTGCTGGGATGCGGCACACCGTCCTGCACAGAAAGTACTATACTAGAGGTACTTTAAAATAACAAGACTATTCCTTGGTGTGTCCACCAGAGTAAATGAACTCAACATATCTGTCCCCTGCCCCATGGGAAAGTGCAGCCTGGTTTCTGTGAGGGAGGACCTGGCTCTTGACTCTGGCTGCTGTGGAACCTGTTTGATGCTAAGTCATCTCTGCCTTGTCACAGCAAAGGCTTAAAGCGCCTCTTTCTGACAGGGTGAGGAAACTGCCTTGAACAGAGCTTATTAATGTTTGCTTTGCTTTTTAGTCGCAAAGCACCTCTAAAGTGAAAGCACGAGTGAATTTTAAGCAAACACAGCTGCATGTTTGCATTGGTGTGGCAGTCATTTCTGTGTTTGTGGTCACTTCCTCCTGTTTTGTTTCATCAATAGAAATTACTAGATGGGACTTGAGTGGTATATCACCATCAGCCATCTCATAGCTTCAGATAAGACTTCAGCAGACATGATAGGAAGAAATGGAGCTTTTGCTTTAGCCCTAGAGGTGATTGCACTGTCATGGAGGAGCCTGTGGTTTCCCTGGTGCTTTCACTGCTGTTGCTGGAGCAGCTGTTGCTGGAGCAGCTGTTGCAATCTGCTGCACCTATTTACTGCCTGAGATACTTCTCACCTATTCAGCTGCTGAATATCTTTAAAAGAAATCAAAGACATTGCTGTCTCCCCACTGCTCATAAGGGGGAAGTGTTCAGGAAGCAATAGCGTTCTCTTAAGTATGTTCACTCAGTTTTCCCAAGATTTGTGCTTCAGTTGAGCTGCTCTGTGGGAGCTAAACCATCAAAATTTTGAGGAAGGTGTTGGCACATTGATGACAGTGCCCTTCAATTAGACTGTTCAACAAACCTTATTTCAGACTGTTAAAAACTGTTGGACTTTCTGGGAGATAAACTCAGCTCTACTCTTCCATCTGCTGCAACGTATCTCTTTATGGTTAAATCTACACTTTGGACTTCAGAGATCTAAATGGGGGCTGGCCAGGACAGTCACGCTAGGCTTGTAAAAGCAGAAGTAGCACTGTGCGTCCCAGCTCAACTGCCTGACAGGAGGTTATATAGGTGTCCCCCTACACTTGAGCATACTTCTAAAGAAGGTCTGGCTCTGTGAGTAGAATAGGTGGGAAAAGAGGAGAATGTGTCTTTTAAAGATGACTGCTGTACTGAAGGCCTAAATGTCATAATGTTAGATTCTCTTTCACAAACTGTGGTTTTAAATGGTGAAAAAAGGGAATAATATGATGTTTGGTTTTTTTTTTTCAGTGAAGGAAAGTGTTAAGTACTTCAAATCCAGAGGCTTAAATATAAAATTAAGAGCATGGTCAAGAACCATGCCGTGTGAAGAAACACAGTAAATACTACCATGTTGTGGAGCTTTGTACCAAATATGGGACACAGGGTGGTTACTGAGGAATAAAGAGAGGGGAAACAGGTACCATTCTGGGAGCTGAGACCTCTTGACAGGAACAGATGGTAGCACTGGGGTTTTACATGAGTTCTGAGTTTTGGGAAAGGCTGACAGGTATTCTCCTCTGGGGAAGTGAAACACCTCGGAAGCAGCTGTCCCGCTCACTGTCGGGTGTCAGGATCATTAGTATGGCAGCAAACTGGGGGACCAAAGAGAATCTAAAATCTTAGTACCTAGGATTCTTCTTGTACATGTCTGATTTGAAAATAATGGACTGATGAAGATAAAATGGAATAAATGCTGTATTTCCTTACAAGTGGTAAGCAGAGTATGCATCCAGGGAAGTAAGGGTCAGTCTTGGTTTGTGATAGACAAAGGGAGAGGTATGACCATATTTTGGTTTTGAAGGAGAGTAATCATTACTAGAGGACCATATATCATACCAGATCCAACAGCCCTAGAGAAGTGAGACTGCTGCTGCTCCATGTTCAGATAGTAGTGAGGCTGAAGACGTATTCAGCAGGCAGGCGCACACAAAGCACACACATACACTACATACCTATGTACATACACATGGTTGGCCACACAGATTACAGGCAGGCATTCAGAGCACCCACATGAACATAGGCAGCACCAACAGCCTCATCCTTCTCCCCTCTCTGGATGGACCAGAAGTCCCCAAGTGAGAATATACACAGACATATGTACAAGGTGGATCCCTCCAGCAGCTGGGGTTAGACAGCCCAGTAGCTGCCCCTGGATCCCAGTCTCCCCAGTTGGTGGCACCTGGACATACAAGTCCCCAAGGCTGAAGCCCTACTCCAGTTGCTGGTACAAACCATCAAACACACACACACAGAGCTGGCCAGAACTTTCCATGTCCCATAGTCAACCCCCCTGTGCTCTCGCCCTTAGAGACACACAGGTGCTCTTGCACCCAGAGCTGGCCTTTAGGGACCCACTCATAGTCCTGGCTCCCAGGCCACTTTGCGTACTCACAGGCTGGTCCACTTGATCTTTGCTAGCCATTGCACACTTGCACACCCACACTCACTCCAGTTGCTGGCACCACGGACACACAGACCCTCCGACCCACGGTCTGACCCCAGTGGCTGCATTCACACCCTGATATGCACATGTGCACCCAGAATTGAAAGCCCTCACCCAGGAAGGAGTCAGAAAGGAATTTAATAAGACAAGAAAGACTGCGCTGATCAAGCACAAGGTATGGCCAGACAAGCGTACTGACCAGCAAGCTATTTACCTGTGTCTGGCCCTTGTTATCCCCTTACACTTCTATTTTCCCACTCTTGTTCTTCCCAAAATCATCTAAACCCCTCCCTTGCCCCGCCTTTGGTTCCTTTGCTAAATATCTCATAATAAGTCCTGTGCGGTTCCAAACTCTTCTTCCCCTGCACCCCATAATATGTCCCACTGCTAGACAGCGACCCCCTTAGTCTGAAAGGTGATCTGGAGAGCTGCTCCTGGTGACTGTGGTGATGAGTTTCATGCCTGGACACTGTGACAGCCCTGGGAGGGGCCCAGGCAAGGTGCTGGCTCCTCCAGAGTCCTTGATCCGGGATCCTGCCTGCCGTTGTGCTCCTGTGCTCCCCTGGGCCTGGGCAGATGGGCCTTTGATGGGCTGATGGTCCCTGTGATTGGCCTGGGAGTAGCCTGGCAGGGTAAATTTGGGCTCCCCTTCCTGCCATTGTCCCTTTGAGCTTTTTGTGGGCGTGCAGATAAGCTTTGTCACATAACCTCACAACCTGAACATGGGCTGTGGTTTATGATGGGGCCCTGTGGGCACTGTGGCAGCATGGAGAAGCCAGGATGCTTTTTTAAAGATGACCTAAAGGCATAAATCAAGCATGCAGGCATGAAGGAGAGTTCAGCATGCAGCTCTGCCATAGTACTGTCCTGAGGCTCATGGTCTGTTGCCTTCCCTGTCAATGTTTTTTCTTCTTTCCTCCCCTTCAGATCACGACGGTTGTCTTGGGAGAGCAGGCTCTGACGGGAACGAGAATGCTCAGGATGTCCAGCTGCCTGCTAAAACTGACCAGGGTGGTGCTGAGCCACAAGCTCAGGACTCTGTTTATCCTCACCTTTAAGTTCATGTCCTTTGCCTCCATCATATTGTATTGGAGAATCACGGAGGACCGTAAAGGCAGGGGCCATGTCTACAGCTTGCCTGTTGAAATCCATTGTGCTCACTCTGTGCCTTCTCCTCCCCACGCCATTGCTGGTGGGCCTCCTTCTTCCCCAGGGGATGTGTTTTTTGTGGAGACCTCGGAGCGAACTAACCCCAGTTACCTGTTCACCTGCTCTGTGGAGTCAGCAGCCAGGATGCACCCTGGGACAAAGGTCGTGGTACTCATGAAAGGTTTGGCAAACGGGAATGCCTCATTACCCAACCACTGGGGCTTCTCATTGCTGAGCTGCTTCCCTAATGTGGAAATCCGTCCCCTGGACTTGCTGGAGCTTTTCTCTGGAACACCACTGGCAAAGTGGTACTTGCAGGCTCAACAGCGCTGGGAGCCTTATTTCTTACCCGTCCTGTCTGATGCCTGCAGAATTGCCATCATGTGGAAGTTTGGTGGCATCTACCTGGACACAGACTTCATTGTGCTTAAGAACTTGAAGAACCTCACCAATGTGCTCGGTACCCAGTCCAAGTATGTACTGAATGGGGCCTTTCTGTCCTTTAAGCCCAAACACAAGTTCATGGAGCTTTGCATGAAGGACTTTGTGGAGAACTACAACAGCTGGATCTGGGGGCACCAGGGCCCACAGCTCCTAACGCGTGTCTTCAAGAAGTGGTGCTCCATCAGGAGTCTTCGGAGCAGTACGAGCTGCAAAGGAGTGAGTGCTCTGCCCCGTGAGGCTTTTTATCCCATTCGGTGGCAGGACTGGAAGAAATACTTCGAAGTGGTCAGCTCCTCGGAGCTGCACCACCTCTTCAATAACACCTATGCAGTGCATATATGGAACAAGAAGAGCCAAGGGACAAGGCTGGAGATCACATCCCAGGCTTTGCTGGCTCAGCTGCATTCTCACTTCTGCCCTGCCACGTATGATATCATGAAGAAGGACTCTGAACGACAGTGACTCAAGGGTCAGCTAAGAGATGTTGCCCGGGAGCCCACAACTCTCCAACTGTTCCATCACAAATGAACCTGCTTTTGAAGTCAGGTGGTGGGAGTTGAGGATAAAAGCCAATTTTAGGGTGTAGGTGGAGCCTGTAGCTTCAGCCGATGTCTGTGCAGCTCTTTGTCTTGACTTTAACTGCCTACCAGCAGCATTTTGTTTCTCTGTAGGACCTTTCTTCTGCTCTGCTTGGTCAGATAGAGAAGTCTCAGGAGGAAAGCAAATGCTGTGCCACTTGTGGCAGCCTCCATCAGCCTTTCAGAGGAGTAAGGCCCCTTTCTATGGCTGTAAACCTGGAAGAGGCTTTTGTAGAAATGCATATCTGCATGCCTGATTCTCAGGACTTCTGAAGTGCAGTCCTCAAAGCAACAAAAGGATGGGAGAGCAAAGAACAGCAACTGAGAGGGAAGTTAGGGATGTGCTAGAAGAGGTGTCCTGAGAAAAATGTAGGGGAAAACAGAGGAGAAAGGGCGGGCTAAAGCAACCTCTTTATTTTCATTCCCTTCTCTTCTGAAGGCTTTGGTGGAGAAGACTTTCTCATGTCTGGTTTGAGCAGGGAGAAGGATGCTGCAGTCTCTGTTTGATGTCATAGATCTGAAGACATGGAAATTTGGTGCAAATCAGAACATGAGAGGATCTGAGGCCAGGTCATTGTTTAGAAGGAGCTCTTGTGCAGCCGTGTTTTATTTTGTAGTAGTGGCAAATTAACACCCTGCAATAAGCAGGAGAGCTCGTCCAAATCACTCCTTAAGTTGCACCTGACACTGGAAGAGCTGAACTATCTTTTACACTGAGTTTGTCTCTGTAATCAAATATCCGTAACAGTGTCTAAGATGCACCAGATCTTTCAGCACTTGGATGGATCCTAAAGAAAGGCATGGTATTTCCAAGTATTTCCAAGGTTACAGAGAGCTTGGTAGGGAACCCGTGCTGTCTAAATTCAAGTCCATTTATGAGTCATTTATGGTGGACCTCTTCAAGTAGCCTGGAGTACTCCTGCAATTCACTGTCTGGGAGTACAAATCTCTTCTGGGAGGTCCTGTGGAGGGCAGTGGAAAGATTTACTCTTCTCCCTGAGCATCTTCTTGAACTGCAGTTGAGAAAGTTAACATATCTCTTGCAAGGCTGTGTTGTGCCTTTGAGGGTTCCCATGACAGAGGCAAGTTTGTTGGACAAACTGTGGCAGAAAACTCGTCCCTTGCCTTGATGGTCCAAAAGGACGTATTGATGTTCTTACAGTTCTTGTCGGAAAATAATGGAGAAGGAGAAGTGAGAAAAAAGAATAAGGTCAAGACCATCAGCATGATTACATCTGGTCCCCACCACACTCTATAAAGGGGATTGCTGAGGCACATGAGCTTGGCACTGCGATAGGGTTAATACAGATGGGCAGAGCATCGGCCATCCCCTCTCCTACACTACTAAGAGATTATGATCTCACTGTAAAATCTTTTCTGCCTCCAGTGTGCCTCCTCTCCTTTTGCCTAGGAACAGCAGTGGGGTGGTCCAGTGGCCCCTTTGATGACCACGAGTCAGTCAGATCTTCAGTGTCACCTGGCCCCAAAGTGACAGCTCTTTCACATGGTGCTCTCTGCAAGTCCTCTGAGTGTGACTCAAATGATTTCTAGATCTGCAGTTGTCTGAGGCCTCTTCTATTTCCCAGGTCAACCATAAGCAATGTGAAGTTTGCTTGGTTTAGCCAAGGCAATGGTCAAAAACATAAAAGACTGTGCATGCAACATTTTGCCGTTTGTCTCAGGTTTATTTGTCTCTTCTTTGATGACAAAAATTAGAAAGAAAAATTGCCCATCACTTTTACAAAACAGTTCCCTGTCCCTCAGGGAACATGACCGTGGAAAGTTAAGGAGGGTGCGGCCTTTTTTTTTTTTTTTTTTTTTCTTTTTCCTGAGCTGTCTGGTGTTGATCGGAGGCCAGTGCTCCTTTGATTGAAAGCTCCCTGCCTGTGAGTCACACCCTGTGGGCAGGGTGCGAGGTCAGTGCACAAGTAGCTACTCTGGAGTGAAGAAGGTGTTGGAAACACCCTTCCTGTGGCTGGCACCACATGCGTGTATGTATGTAGTGCTGCCCCTTTGTTTTGCCCAGCTTTATGGTATATTCTGGAGGCATTCAGGATTTGGAATGTCTGCAGCTCTCCCAACACTGAACTTCTTTAAGAACAAAGACTTTGTGGGGAAAGAATTCCTGACTCTATAAGCATTCTTCAACACACTAAGTGGTATAAATGGATGCTGTTTTCACTCCCTACATTCCCTGTTACTACCCTGTGGGTTTTTTTAACTGCTTTTTTTAGAAGCAGTGCAAAATTGTCAGCCCTGGCCTAGTGTGTGGTCAGTGAGGCATGGTTTCTCCTTCTACTGGTTCCTTCTGTTTTGGGACCTTTGGGCTAAACAACAGAAGTCTTAGTGAGCTAGGAATCCCTATCAGAGATGGTTGGTGATCATAAAGGCATAACAGAGGACTCTACTGTGGCAATACCATGAACTGATGATGGAAGTGTTTGGGACCCACTGCAATTAATATCTGGCTTGATGTACCACTGCTTATTCTAGGAAAGTGCCTTTTTGGATAAGTGGAGTGGTTTTTTTGTTGTTGTTTTTCTTTGGTTTTTTTTTCCCTTGTAGAGTCAATGTTCCGAGGTTTGATAAGGAGAGAATCAAACCAAAGCAGCCTTTGGCCTTTTCCCCTTTGTCTTGTGAAAGAAAAATAAATACAGTTTTTACTCTTACTTCTTTCTGCCAAGATGTTCCATTTTGTTCTGCAAGGCGTTGGTGGTAGGTCTGAGCAATCTGTTAGTTATTATGCAGAAAAGTATTTTAAAGTTGTGTCCTGAAGTGACTCACTAGAATTAAAAGCATGGAATGAACATGAGACAAGTTGAGCATAAGCACATGTGGAAAGAAGGCTCTGTGGACCATGACTACATGCTATCTTTAGGACTTGAGCAGAGGGAACAGAGGAAAGCACAGTGTGTGGTACTGATTCCTAATCCAACTAGGTATTGCCCCATCACTCATGACCTGCAATCTATCTGAAGCAAGGCATTTTAGTCTCACTCTGAAGGTCTGGATGTTATGGAATAGGAAACTCCATGAGAAATTGTGTTACTTTTTCCCTGGGTGATGGGCTACAGCCTCCTTTAGTAGTAACAGTGTCTGTGCTCTTGTAGACCTAAAAGTGGAAAGCTTGTCCTGCAGCCATTCATTTTCACAGCCTTTCAGAGCCTGATCATAGAATAGAATGCATTATAGAATCATAGAATGCTTTGGGTTGGAAGGGACCTTGAGATCGAAAGACCCTGGAGTCCAGGGCAGCATTTTGAGAGGCTGTGAAAGGACTGGTGGGGTCTGGTGTGCAGAGGAGTTTTATTGTGACTCCTCAAGTCAAGAGGCAGGGAAACAGTTTTCCCTTGAGGTGTAAAATAGTTGCCTGTCCTTTCTTCATTGCTGATACGCAGTCAATGATGATGGGAAGTGGTGAGAAGGCACTAGCTGTTTCTTGCCCTGTCTTCTTTGTCCTTGAGCTCATGAAGGTTAGCTGGTACCCAGGTGTGCAGCACATCAAGGAGAGAAACCAGGGGTGGGGGTTGGAGACGCAGAATTGGACAGTGCAACAGGAGTAAGGAAGGATCAGTAGGGTAATCCTGGACGTGGTCTCCTGGGAAGAAACTGAATGATGATTATTTTCTCTCTGCTGGCTGAGAGCGCTCCTATGCCAGGAGCTCTTGTGCTGGGGGGATCTAGGATGTGTGGTAAGTAGTAATACTCTGTAGGGCTCTTTGTTCCCCTGTTCTTCTCCCTGTTTCTTCTCCCTCCCCCCCACAGTCCAGGAAGGCTATGGTGCAAAGAAGGTTAAGAGTGCCCTTCTTGGGGGAAAGTGCAGTTACCTGCCTTAATTACATACGTGTTGGGAGCTGAGGTCTGCCTAGGGCTGGTTTGTCCTCATCAGGAGAGAAGAGGAAAACCAAAGCTCTCCACATGCTGTTTGGATATGCCATTTGTGAACATGGGCACTCTGGTCTTTCTTATGTACTTCAGGTTCATCTCCAAAAGTGTTTGTGACCATTCCCTGTGTGCACTTGGCTTGTGGCCTCTCTGGTACCTTCTGTGTAACCATGCCTGGAACGTGGATGAATAGGTGTAGTCCAGAATGGAAAACTACAGGAGGAAGTCACTTCAGCTGCACCCTGCCTTTACAGCTCAAGCTGAGATCTTGACCTTTAAATTTGTGTATAATGATGGGGCCAAATAGCAGCTGCCATGGCACTGCAGTATGCTGGTAGAGGTATGAGAAGTAAGAAAGTTCCAGGGGGGGAAATTAGGTAGGCACATAAAGTGTGGCAAGTTAAATATGAAAACACCATTAGGCTATAGAAAACGTTGTTTGAAAAACAATTAACAAAAGATATTAAAGCTACCAACATTTTTTTTTTCCCCCGAACTGTAGAAGGAGCAGGAAGCCTGCTAGAGAGGCAGAAGGTCAGTAGGAGATGAGAGATTGAAAGGGAGTTCAGAGATCAGTTTGAAGCAAACCAAAATTAATTTCTGCATCTGGCTACAGGTAAGAGGAACTTGGGGATGTTTCTCTACACTGTAATCCCTCCTTGTGGGGGATGCGTACCACAGTCTCTTCTGCATCACCACATCCATGGAATACATGTCAGGACTGAATGAACAGACAGATGATGGGACCTGATGGGATGCACCCACAAGTGCTGCAGGAGCTGGCTGATGTCATTGTGAGAACTCTCTTTGTTATGCTTGAAAGGTTGTAGAGATCAGGGGAAGTGGAAGGAAGCAAAAGTCACTCCTATCTTGCCTATCTTCTAGAAGTGCAAGGAAGAGGATCCAGGGAACTACAGGCCAGTTAGTGTCACATTGACCCCTGGGAAGGTGATGGAGCAAATCCTCCTGGAAGTCATGTGCAAACATATTAAGGACAAG